ACACACAAATAGGCGAAACTGCGCGAAAGCGCGGGAAGACACGGAGCGTAAGCATCCGACGCTTGACACCTACTGATTCACGCGATGTCGGGTTGACCGGCCTCTCCTCCCACTCACCCACATCAAACCACGACCAGCTTACCATAGAGGTCTGGTTTCAGCTTCCAATCTAGACCCATCGGGCCTACCACCGTACCAGGGAAACCTGTCTCAGCAAAAGAAAAGTTATTCGTTAAGATCAGCCTTGGACTTTACGATGTTTCTCTCTGGCTGTTGGTGGGCAACGGGTTGCCCCACACGTCTTACGATTGCTCCGATTGATAGCCGACCGGTGTAGACCGACTTTGCTTGTTTACGTCTATAGAAATATTTCGACTAATCGGACACATGTTTTGGTCGTGGCACTACGCGATGCGGATCAATTGTTGGTACTACCTATTAGTAACGCAGCGAAAAGATTGGTGGCCGTTTTATTTGGGAGTTGAGAGACGAGCAGAGAGTGCGCCGAGAGAGAGAGAGAGACGAGGAGAGCAGAGGAGGAGACGAAGAGGAGACCGAGAGAGAAAGAGAGAGAGAGAGAAAGAGCGAAGGGGCAGCAAGCGCGGGTGTTTCTCCATTCACGCGTGGTGGTGAGGCTCGTCCAGTGAACCACAGTAAGCCACCGTGTTGAGTTCAAACTTGGGCCAGATGCGTATCTGTGCCAGAGGCACTTGGAACGTTTCAATAATAAAATAATGGTAAATAAACACGAAAATCTATTCACTAATAAAGTCGTCATTCATTTTTCTTTACTCTCGTTCGCCTGTTATTACCGATAATTTTCTGTAAATGTCGTTCAAACGCTCCTCTGCCGCACATGAGTACACCGCACGCATGCCGCTGTGCACAAACAACAAAATTATAAAGTTTTAAATATATTGAGAATAGAATTTATAGAACACTATAATTTTCCGTAAATTAATTATCTATAAATTATAGATAATATCTATAAAATAGATAAAAGAAACATTAGGTAGGCGAAAGTAGAGAAACTTATTAGATACTTTATTAGTAAAATACATTTCGTGTTTGTTTGCCATCGTTTTATTATTGAAACGTTCCTAGTGCCTGTAATCTATGTGATCGTTTCGCTGCTGTAATTCCCTAACAGATGCACTCGCCTGCATGGAGTCGGATTGCTTACCGATATTCTTGCAACATCACATAGTGTTGCATCAGATACACAAAGCCTGGACCAGTCACGATAGATTCGGTGTGGTTTCTACCGTGAAGTAATAACGGTTGCCTTGGTAAAATAGCGCCTTGCGGTGAAATGGCATATATTTCGTATTTATGCACACGATTGATGCTATTATCCCTATTGTCTCGATTATCCACTCCTGGGGCCGGTTTCACGAAGCGTACTTAAGTATTTAATCATGATTAAATCACTAATCATGATTAACTTCCTGTACTTAAATTGAAGTGACTATTTCACGATTAACTTTAATCATGGTTAAGTTAATCACAATATTTAATTCTACTCAGGAGCATGATTAAATCCACTAATCATAATTAGTTGCTAGTACTAGAAGTAGTATGTAGGTAGTACTAGTATATTAAGTACGCTGCAGATTTTACAATTGGAAATTTTACTTCAATTTTTTCGCAAGGAAATTTAAATTATCTAAAATTAGCTGTACTAATTTAGTCATTATAATTGCAAATTAATTCCTTTTCATGTACCGAATTTGCAGATACTTTTGGCGTTGTCCGCCATTTTGAATACAATGTAATTCATGTTTAAGTCAGCTAATTATGTGAATAGTTAAATAATGTCTGTTACAATCGCCTTCTTGGTGAACCCATATTTCTTTAGAGTGTATGAGTAACACTAATCATAATTACGGAGGGTAATGATGTAAGGTGATGTGATAGTGGGGATTTAATCGATAATTGGAAGTTTAATACAAATAATAGTCCCCGAGGGTCGAGTACAGATATGCAAATATTCAGTGATACATTATAACATAAGTACATACACATAACGTTATTACATATCTATACATATACATATAATTACATATACTCTACATATACATATACACTCTAATATACATATACATATACATATCATATACATATAATATCTAATATACTACATCATACATATACATATTACTATACTAGTGAGCATATACACTTACATATTACAGGTATTACTATAAATATAGCAGTATACACTATACACGTATACATATACATATACATATCATAATACATTATACATATACATATACATATACATATACCTTATACATATACATATACAATATACACATATCATATACTACTTACATATACATATACAGTTTACACTTACATCATACACTTAGCATACACATGACACGCTACGCACTAAGCACAGTCAACATACACTCATCACATACACAGTACACATATACACTATACATACTATATACAGTAGAATATACACATACATGTATACAGTATCAATATCACATTATCAAATAATATACGAGTATACTAATTATAATACATAATCGCTATAGGTTATAATATACATTACAGTATACATAGGTAGTACTATACATTAATATACTACTACAGTATCCTATACCATAGGTAATTACAGTATACACGTATAACATATACCATATACATATCCTATGAAACATACATCATACATGATACACCTATACACAAACATTACACATACACATATACATATACTATACAATTCATATTACAGTATACATACAATCTATACATATACAGCTATACATATACATATACATATACATATACATAATTATACATATGCATATGCATGTACATATACATATACATCCATGTATAATAAAGAATATCATCACATTACTGCTAAAGCAATGTACAAAAAGGCGCGACTGCGTGGGTTTTATTATATACAGTTTCACATTTTATTCAAGCAAGATGCATACATTATTTCATACACACACACACACACAACAGCAACAATACACGCTTCATATTTGACCTTATCGAGTGTATCGGTACGACCCATGACCAACATTCGCCCTTTCTGTCTGTGCTCTACCTTCATTCACACATTCTTAGCTGTTGTTGGCTCTTCTGTGGGCGACCTCCCTCCACATTGTCATCCCGTTCTTTTATTACCTCGTCCATTGTCATAGACAGCAGAAGCAACAGAACGTCCGTGCATTGTCATCGTAATTATAGAATAGAAAACAAACACAATTAGTTATAGTACGAAGCTAAGATTTTATTCCAACACGACTGTGTAATCAGTGTGAATGTCAACTGCGCTATACACCGTGATTACGGTGTTCGTGTGAGGAAAACACTATAGGGATTTACTGACCTACTCTAAATCTACGCTAGTTGTGGTGAAGTACCGACCGGATCACGTCGCCATATTATCATATTATTTATCTGCATAGCTTCTACATTTACATTCGCTCGCGCGAAAGGCCGGTGTCGTTGTCAATGAAATTAGAGAACAAGACTGACTGAATTGTCTTGAAACGTCTGTATTAAAGCGTCGATGGTACCCCGTTTCGCACATCCAAGATGCCGTTAAACGTGTCTAGTTTGCTATGGCGGTAGTTGAATATCGACGCTTATTACTTTTTTCTTATCGACTGTATTACTCAAATGACATTCGAGGATGCGCTGTTTCCGCACAGTACGATGGACTCGTTTGTGTTTTTCGCGTGCGAAATTCGTCGTGGAATTAATTGCAGCCGCTAGAATAAATCGAAATCTCAATCGGTCGAGGTTTACAATCCATTTTTTCACTTCCTAAATTATGAAGCACCAGAAAAACACTCAGTCTGAGAGAGCTGTTCAATTTACGATTTTACGTGATAAATGTATTAATTCGTAACTCGTTTTTTGTTCGCGTGCGATGTGCTATGACGTGTAGCATAATTTGCAGGTTTTCACCCCGTGATAACGACTTCCTGTAGTGACAGGATGTCACGTACCCGCTGTGCGGCGAATGTCACTCCAACGCATCCAGTTTACTCGCGTAAGTGCTCGCTGTAATTCAAACTCTCAAAACCGGCGAGAGTTTCCGCTAGATGGCGCCACCGACACGTGTCTGGCAAACCGTCTATTCTGTGGATGGTGGCGCGTATACTGCCAGTAACGCGTGTATTTCAATGAAGGGAGACGGTAGATATATACATGCCGTATATGCATGTCCATATATATGTGTATATATGTGTATATATATATATGTGTGTATATATGTATATCCATGTTATTACATGTATATCCGTTATATATATATATATTACATATCCATGATTGTAATCGACCGCTTTGTTCGCAGATCACCAAGAGTGATACCTCTCTTCCAGGTTAACTTTATATTTTATAACCACCCGCCAATCGTGATTTCTAGCAGAATTGCGTGTATAGAGAGGTGAGATTATACATAACAATGTGCATAATTTAAAATGTAATATAGTGAAACACGATGCGGTGACGTCGTACCGCGCCGCGTTTACTCTACGAGGCAAACACAGATTTACATGTATAAATAAATGACTTCGCGGTGGTGCGTATACGCAACATCCGCTCAACCGACGCCCACGCACGCGCGTGCGCACACAGCGCGGCTTCATGTTCGACGACCGTGATGTCAGGGCGCATGCGCAGGGGGACCCTATGCTAGCAACGCGCGTTCTCGCCTGCTTCCCGCGTTATCTATCTCCGGTCGCACACGTCAGTGCGCATGCGTGGACGGCTGCTGCGCATCGGTCTCGCCCGTTCTCGCGGGATTCGGCGAGAAGATGCGACCGGTGGCCGTCCGGGCGCCGCTCGCTTGCTGCGCGACAGTCTCCGCGACGGATGCCAGTGTTTTTGTCTAGCTATCCGCTGCCGCTGCTGTGGCATCTCTTCAACTCTGTTCTGAAAAGAGATGTTTGGATCGTGAGTTGAAGCAGTGCTACTGCTTTCGGACAGACACTCAGTTTAAGGTTCTTGTTTGTAGCTAGATTCGATGGCTTCTGCGGTTCGCTCCGTCTATGCTGCTTGTCCCTTTCTATTTATCCAAGTCGTACCCTACCGTATATCATCAGGTGGACAGAAGTTTTTTGTTTAGTTCTTCTGCTTTGTGAAGTTTATATCGAAATATATCACATGTGAAATATATCCCGTGTAAAATACATTACATTTGAAGTATACCACGTATGAAATATATCACATATATGAAATATATCGCATATGGGAAATATATCAGTCATGAAATGTTAACTCAAGGCGGAATTGTAGTCATTCATTTCGCAAAAGAAGTACATAAACAACGAAATACCTTCTGTGGCTTCCTGTTGTTGGCTCTCATGTTGCTCGCCTTCGTGTTCAACTTGGCTCTCGTGCTGTTGACCCTCTTGTTGTTGTCCATCTTGTTGTTGACTTCCTTCTTGTTGGCCCTCATGTTGCTGGGCCTCAGTCTCCTCTTTGTGATGTCGTTGTTCTTGGTAGTGCTTCCTCGTTTTGTAGCCCTTGAACTGCGCTTGGATCAGGGTTGCGGCGTGGTTGACCGTTGAATCGGTAGGATCGTAGGATCCCTGTGGAAAACAATGCAGAAAATATAATAGAGAGAGAGGGGGTGGGAGGGAGGGAAAAAGAGAGGGAGAAAAAAAGAGAGAGAGAGAGAGAGAAAGAGAAAGAAAGAGAGCGAGAAATCAGATCGCGTATCAGTTCGATTACATCGACTAGATGTGAAGTTTATAGGTGACTAAACTATATCGGATTTTAGAGGGAGTTGAGGAGCCTTCCTGTGTTACCACCCGCGACCAGAGTTTTGCACGCTTGTGAAAATTTTAGGATGCATTTGACAATATAGGGCGTGTTTGTTTGAGTTGGATCGGTCTAATCTAGATCATCACTCAAATCATGATCTTCCCAAATAAACTGCTTAAAACAAACGCACACGTTCCTCCAATGGGTGACCTGTCATTGCATAGCTACGAGCTACCAAATGACCAATGACCAAATTTAACATCTGTAAGTGCTCGGATCGCCATCACATCGGATCGCCACAGACAGATCAACAATTCGTGATCCAGATCGCATACGATCCCTGCTCCCAAACAAACAAGCCGAAAAGGGAAAATCATGGCAATAACAGCGCCACTATCTCTTGGCGGTTGGCAAATGCGCCGACGTCACCAGCTAGCGACCGTGCTGACGTCACCAGCTAGCGACCGTGCCGACGTCACCAGCTAGTGACCGCGCTGACGTCACCAGATAGCGACCGTGCTGACGTCACCAACTAGCGACCATGCCGACGTCCGCCGCTGGTGACCGTGGCGACGTCAGCAGCTGGCGACCGTGCCGACGTCATCCGCTAGCGACCGTAGCGACGTCATCAGCTAGAGACCATGCCGACGTCAGCAGCTAGAGACCATGCCGACGTCAGCAGCTAGAGACCATGCCGACGTCAGCAGCTAGCGTCTACGAACCCTAACCCGACTACGTCTACGTCGTCGCGCGCACGCGTCTACTGTGTGTATTAGCGTTGCTGTGACGCACGTGGCGTGTCTGCTCGAGTAGCTCCTCTAGAATCTTCTGATGCTCGGTGTTGGCGACCTCCTGGCTCGCGTGGCGTATGAGGTCCTGCAGCAGCCGCTGCTCCTCGGCTATCAGCTCCTCCGTCGTCGGCGCGTGCTCGTGAGCGGGAAGGTCCTTCGTCTCCAGTTCTTCAACCTCGACGCCTCCCTCCGACGATATGGACACCTCCGACGAAGGCTCCTCCTGCTCGACCTCGCGGTGCCCTTCCGAGGATCCGGCGGCGGCGGTGGCGGGAGCGCTCTCGAGAGGAATGTCAGAGGCAGGAACGTCGGCTTCTTGGTCGTGCGTCGGAATGCGCGAGTCGGTCTGCTGTTCCTCGGCGTCGCTCTCTAGGTTCACCTCGTCCGGTGCAGGCAGTGGCGTCTCCACTCTGATCTCCTCGAGCGTGTGTTGCTCATTGGTTTCGTGTGACTCTGGCTCGCTGTCTAGCGGTACTTCGTCGGGTGCTAGTAGCGGCGTCTCCACTCTGATTTCTTCCCGATGAGCTGCTTCTCTCGTTTCTTCAACGTGCTCGTGCGAGACTGGCTCGCTCTCTAGTTGCACCTCGTCGGGTGCTGGAAGCGGGGTTTCTACTCTGATCTCCTCCTGAGCTGCATCGCTGTGTAGGGGCTCCTCCTGTTTGACGGCATCCTCCGCTTGTTGCAGCGCGGATTCTGTGAGCGTAGCGGCTTCCTGCTGTTCCTCTGTCGGCGTGACGGGAACGAGTTCCTCTTCCGGGGGAGCCGGAAGGTCCTCGTCCATCCATACATCCGGTTCCCGTTCGGCGCGCATCTCGGCTGCTGGAGGCATCTCTACTTGCACTTCTTGCTGCGGTGGCGGGATTTCCTCGACGGCCTGTGCCTCTTCCCTAACTTCTTGATGTACCGGCTCTGGTTCCGCCCGTACTTCCTCCACGTAAGAAGGCATTGCTTCTGGTTCCGGTACTTCTTCGACTGGAGGTGGTACCGGTTCCGCTTCCCTAACTTCCGCCACGAGACAAGGCACTGATTGGGGTTCCTGCGTCTCTTCGACAGGACAAGGCACTGGCTCGGCTTCCCTGACCTCCTCCATGGGAGGCGGTATCAACTCTTCTTCTTCTTCTTCTTCTTCTTCTTCTTCTTCTTCTTCTTCTTGCACTTGCTGCGGAGGCTCTTCCCGGACTGGCTCCGGCGCAGCAGCTTCTGGCTGTTGCTCGATAATTGCTACCATCTGTATGCACTCCTGCGCGGGTGGTGCCGAGTCAGCCTGGCATATCTCTTCCTCCTGTACGTCTGCTGCGGGCGCTGCTGGCTCGTCGTGCTCTGGTTCGGCTGCGGCTTCCTCCGGCACGGGGGCTGCGACCTCGCGCGAGAGACGCGCATCTTTCTCCTCATCTTCCTTCTCCTTCTGCTCAACATGCGGGGCGTCGACCTGAAAGACATCACCCGTGTTCAGTGGCGGCTTGTCGACGTGTGCGTGTGTGTGTGTGTGTGTGTGTGTGTGTGTGTGTGTGTGTGTGTGTGTGTGTGTGTGTGT